GACAAAATAAAGAAAAATGCAAACCCCGTCACCGATAAGTCATCGCTCCGGAAACCTTGTCGGGGAAAACGGTCCCGCAAGTGAAGGGGCTGCGGCTCAACCCCCGGCAGGCGGGAGCCGAGCCCGGCTCTCCCGCCGCCGCGACAGACGGGGCGGGACAACCCACGGGCCGGGGACAGCGACAGGGACCCCTCTTTCCCGGAGGACACCGTGTCGGGGAGGCCATGGCAGGACGAGGTCCCGGAGAAGGGGAACGGGGCGTGCGCATCCTCCGGGGTGCCTACGGAGCTGGTCCCGCTGCCAGGTCCGGGGGAAGCGCCGCTTTCTCCGCACCTCGGGCGCCGGGAAGAGGTCTGGGCTGCCAGCCGGGRGCCGAAAGCGGGAGCCAGGCGCCGCTGCGGGCCCCACAGACAGCGCACAGGCTGCTTCCTCAGCTCTCCTGATGGGCGAGAGCAGTGCGAAACCCACTCCCGAGAAGGGAATTMAGGAAGCGCGTTCTTACGGCATTTTTTATAAAAAGCGGCGTTGTTTACAGAGCCGTCTGGGGGGGAGGGCGGCATCCCCGTCACGGCTAAGGGCATCTTCGGGGCACYCTGAAGTGCCGTGTCGGCCGCCGCTGGTGGGTTCGGGTCACCTGGCCCCTCCTGGGGAGCGGTGGGCAGCCCTCCTCGGACCGGCTGTGGCTCCGGCTTCCCCCCGATCTTGGACGCACCGGGAAGGGGCCGCGGCAGTGCTCTCGCCACCGGCCGGTCCCGGACCCCCCCCGGATCCCGCCCGGATCCCGGCACACACAAGCCACAGATCGCGGGGGAGGGGCGGCTCTGTCAGACACACACACGCCAGAGACTCCAATTATCTTCTCCCTCACAAGATGTTTCTGCTGTCCACGACTGCTCACACTTCGGCACTCTTGCCAGCAAGCCTCAATAACACAAAACCCGCACAAAAACCCCTCTCCCGGCGCCGCAGCCGCGCACACAACAGATTGAGCGGTGCCGGTGCCTCGGGGGGAGGGTTAGAGGTGCCTCTGCGCGGAGAGCGACGTGCCAGCACCGCCGTGCTTCCCCCCTCGGCCCGGCCCGGTGCTTCCCCGGGACCGGGCGGCTCCCAGGTGCGTCCCGGCACCGCGCCGGGCACCGGGAAAGCGACCAACCTACAGGCAGCTGCGTTGCCCTTTTCCCTGCACTCCGCTCTCCAAACGTCTGAGCAACCAGTTTGCTGCTAGAAACATGTTAATTGCCAACGGAGCTCATTAAGGCATGCACATGCAAAACACAGCGAGGGAGATTAAATGGACAAAAGCGCAATAATGAACTGTCAAAAATCGGACCCATCTACACGACCAGGAGCACTCAAGAATGAGGCATTTAGAGGCAACAAAGGATTGTCTGGGACAGGAAGAAAGGACGACCTAGACTTTTGTTTAGTCAACACAATTGATTACAAATGAGAGATTAACAGGATAGCTTCAGAGTTTTTTTGAAGGAGGCAGAAGAGAAAAGTCCAATTAAGTGCACCGAATGTTAACTACATTGATTTCCACGGCCAGCGCTGGAGAAATTCTCATTAAACCATCCCTGGCGATCCCTTTTGGAAAGTAATTTGTCTCCCTGATGGAGCAGAGAAAGGGAGCCGTGTAAAGAGAAAGAAGCGCTAGTTCTTGGCACAATGAGCTTAGGAGACACACTGGAAAGAGCCAAAGGGGGAGTTAATGAGCATCTGACAAGCCGCTTGGACCCGGGCCTGGAGAGCAGCGATGAAAAGATGGAATTGGCCAACAACTATTCTTTATATCAAACATAAAAAGGCCAATCTGAAACAGGGCTGCTCAAAGCTGGTGGGGAAGAAAAGAAAGGCCCCCAGTGAGGGGTGGAGTGGAGGGCTCAACTGCCCCATTGGGACGGGGAAAAAAATGCTCTGGCATGACCCTCTCGGAGCGAGCGGAGCTGCTGGCCCTCGGCACTACCCCTCCGGCGGGCACGGCAGAGGGAACCTGGCAGCCCCGGCCCCACTGCAGCCACCCCCGGCCCGGAGGAGCTTGCATAGACCCGAATCGCCCCAGGGTAGCCGAGCTGGGTCCAATCTTACAAAGTTATCCCGTGGAGGGAAATAAACGGTCATCCCAAATCACGGCACCCGGCTCTGCCCAAAACCAGCCTTCCTCCTCCCTGGGGCTGCATTCGCCTGACCCCTCCCGCTGTCCCGGCTACGGCCCCCCCGAGGAACCGGGCACCGCGGAGCGCAGCGCAAGGCAACGCGCATCGTGTAGACACGGCTAGCTCGGAGGCTCTTAAATCAGATTAGGGCTCGTTAATAACAATTTTGGCTTAAGTCTGTATTGACTTAGGTTTAGGAATGGCTTAGCACTTTCGCTTATGTCAACACCAGGGCTAAATTGACACATGCCTTTCCCAAACCGCCGTGTCCCCAAGGATGCCCAGGTGCCTGCAGGACTTGTCCTTCTGCTGCTTTAAGCCGTTTTACGGAAGTATTTGCATTATTTTTAAGTAAACCCAGTGGGCCTCGGCTGTGCCAGCCCACCCCCGCGTGTAATCCACTAGGGCCCCCTCTAGGGACGGGTTTCATGGGCCTCACCCTCCCAGGGTTGGGATCAGGACACTTCTGTTCTTAGGGCTTTTGCTGTTCTCACTGYCAGCCCTTGTGGTTCTTCCCCACCCCTCATGGTGTGGCTCCTGCCCACTTCCTAACACCTCCTGCATCTCTCCTTAGGTCCCCTCGAACCCCTTCAAATGTGGACCCTGGGTACCCCTGGAGAGCCAGGGCAGCATTCGCATCCACAGCTGTAGATGAGAGTAAGGGTCCAGAGGCAGCTGCTCCTGCAACCCAGGGAAAAGATGGCACAACGGGTCCCAGCACTGCCCTTCAGCCAGCACTGACAGCGGCCACAGCGAGGGTTACCAGCCACCTGCCCGGCTACTTCAGACCCACTGAGAGCCACAAGTGGATGGGATGGCAAGGGACAGGTAGATCCTGGGGCTGTGCAGGCAGAGGGGCCACCAGCAGACCAGGGCAGTGGGGAAAGGCACTCACCCCTTGGACTGTGGTCTTGGTGAGGGACGGTTTGGTGAYGTGGTCACCCCATCCCCTTCCTCTCCTGAAGATTCCTGCACACAGACCTCACACCATGGCCACCTTTGTCATAAYCTCCCCCTTGCTGCCATCCTCTCCACCAGGTACGGTGCTGAGCTGACCAATACCATCACCACAGGGCCTTAGTGAAGACACCTATTGGGAAGGGGGGAARTGCTCTTATCAGCTGGTTTTTGCCACCTATACTGATTCTCCAGGTGACCTTGTCCCAGCTTTTAGCCCACTCCTATTCTAACTATTAACCCTGCCTAGCCTAAAGCTGTAATCTCATGCTATTTGTATTTATATCACTGATTTATTGCAATTGCTTAATTGACTGAATCATGGGCAACKCGTGCCCTCAATTAAAAATTTAAAAAAGAAAAAGAAAAGGGTGCATCTAGACTTCTGTGCTCTGTTTTACGGGCTGCCTCTGCTCGTCAGGTGTTGAAGCTGAAGCTGGCCCATGTGGCTCAGCCCGCA